CCCAAATGGAAAAAAGAGGCGGGAGAACTTTTTTTTGAGTTCCTTCAGTTTGGACAGCCCTTTGTCCATAATGTTCGGAAAGGAGACCACCCGGAGGGTGTTTCCCGTGGGCCCCGTTTGGAAGACGAGGCAGCTAAAGTTCATTTTTTCCCCCTTTTTCAGGAGTTGGGGGAACGACAGGCCTTGTTGGACCCCCGGGAGGGATTTCGACATGTCCGAAAACATGCTGGGGGGGGGGGGGGGGGCGGGCAGACGGGAGGGAGAGAAGGTCATGTTCTGCACTATCTTCATGAGCACAGCGAACGACATGGCCTCGACTACCCCGGGCATGGAGTTCGACATGTCCGGGAACATGCTGCCCGGGGAGGGGGGAAGGGAGGGAGACAAGAATGTTATGGAGGCAATTGCTAAGATCATAGATGGGCCCTCCCAAGGGGGCTCACGAAACGCAGGGGCTGATGCATTGCTTCGCCTCCCTACCCCATTTTCTTGGGCGCTTAATCCAATTTCGTCGAAGGCGCTTAATTGTATAGGATAAAGCATCAAACTTCTAAAACCCATATAAACAAGAAGTATATAGGCTTTTGTGTGACCCTATTACACCCTACACAATATAGAGCATGGCATCAAGGTTTTACCATACCACACCAAATCCTACATACAGTTGTATCAGTTGTAAAACCCATGTAAGTAAGAGGTGTGTAACTGCTGTAAAGTATCACAATTGTAATCCTACCTGGTGTACATTAATGATACTTCTACCTCGTATATTGGTTGCACTATACCACACTAAATCCTACGAAGTACCATATAACGCATATATCATACCCCATTTGGTCCTCAATCCAGTTTCGGGCAGTGCATCAAGCCCTGCACATCGAGAGCCCCTCCACCCCGGGGGGGCAGCAAGACGGGGAGACAATTTACTCCGCAACAGCAGCAAATTGCCCCCCAAGAAATAGACATGCCGCGAAACACCACCAGCTACGTACTATATACCAGTACACGCACGCAACGCACAGCAGAAGAAACAACCGAGGGAGAAGTGCCGTGTGTGACACAGAGCACCACACCCCTTGGAATATTTTTCAAAGCCCCATTACTCCACGACGAAGACGGTGAACAATATGAATCGATACGTTTTCGGGAAGCTCTCGACGGGGCGGCTTCAAGCGCCGCCGTTTTCGGCGCAGCCACTCGTTCTGCTTCGGAAAAATGGAGCTCCGAACATCGGTCCCAAGGGTGTGCGTGATATCTTACGCCATGTCACCTACGGCAGGCGTTTCGCTCACCCCTTGATGCCGTCCGCAGCGTCCTGGCTCATCCCGTCCGTCACCGCCAGCTCGTCCATGTCTACCGTGGGCTCCACCTCCATGCAGTAGAGGTTGTCGAAGCCGTTCACGAGGGTCGGGTCCTTGGTGAACTTTTGCCCGAAAGCATCACTGTGAGAAAGGAATTGCAGAACAACACCCACCGAAATTGCTCTTGTTTATATATATAGGTTGCGTGATATGAATAACTGTGAAGAGGAGTTGCAACATCACCGGGATTGCTATAGTTTAGATAGGTTGTGTGGTATGGAAGAGGCATGGAGCGTTCGTGTGACCACGGGTTGGGGCTTCTACCCGGCAGAAGTTTTTCTACCCGGCAGAAGTGCTGTGAGCACTGATTGGAACAAAAACAATCAAAAACAAAGGAGGGAGGGTATGGGGTGGGTGGAGACCAAGACCTCGCCTGTCACAGTGAGAACGGACGGTGTGCTTGTAGCATTTGCCGTTCGAACTCAACTCAGGCACAAAAACGGGAAAATGCACCAACGTGCAAGCAGACAGCAGACCAACAAGAAGGAGTAAACCATGCACCCACGTGTACTCACGTCGTGATACCCAGAACCCTATCAGAGCATTCAATGGCGTGGCCGTGTCTGTTACTCCCCCCCCCCCCCCCTCTCTCCCTGGTATCTCTGTGTCTGTCCCCTCCCCTTTTCTCTTTCTCC